TGGAGAAAGGACATTCTCTTCAATAAATGGTGCTGGGAAAACTGGACAGCCTACATGCAAAAAAAATGAAATTAGAATATTCTTTAACACCATACACAAAAATAAACTCAAAACGGATTAAAGACCTAAATGTAACACTCGAGACGATAAAACTCTTAGAGGAAAACATAGGCAGAACACTCTTTTACATAAATCACTGCAATAGCTTTTTTGATCCGTCTCCTAGAGTAATGGAAATAAACACAAACAAATGGAACCTAGTTAAACTCAAAAGCTTTTGCACAGCAAAGGAAACCATAAACAAAACGAAAAGACAACCCATAGAATGGGAGAAAATATTTGCAAATGATGTGGCCAACAAGGGGTTAATCTCCAAAATTTTCAAACAGCTCATGTGACTCAATATCAAAAAACAAACAACCCAATCAAAAAATGGGTAGAAGGGGCTTCCCTGGTGGTGCAGTGGTTGAGAGTCTGCCTGCCGATGCAGGGGACACGGGTTCGTGCCCCGGTCCGGGAAGATCCCACATGCCGCGGAGCGGCTGGGCCCGTGAGCCATGGCCGCTGAGCCTCCACATCCAGAGCCTGTGCTCCACAATGGGAGAAGCCACAACCGTGAGAGGACCGTGAACCGCAAAAAAAAAAAAAAAAAAAAAGGGCAGAAGACCTAAATAGACATTTCTCCAAAGAAGACATACAGATGGCCAAGAGGCACATGAAAAGATGCTTAACATTGCGAATTATTAGAGAAATGTAAGTCAAAACTACACTGAGATATCACCTTCCACCAGTCAGAATGGCCATCATCAAAAAATCTAGAAACAATAAATGCTGGAAAGGGTATGGAGAAAAGGGAACCCTCCTACATCGTTGGTGGGAGTGTAAATTGATACAGCCACTATGGAGAACAGTATTGAGGCTCCTTAAAAAACTAAAAATAGAGCTGCCATGTGATCCGGCAATCCTACTCCTGGGCATAAATCTGGAGAAAAACATGGTTCGAAGGGATACATGCCCCCATTGTTCACTGCAGCACTGTTTACGATAGCCAAGACATGGAAACAACCTAAATGTTCATTGACAGTTGAATGGATAAAGATGTGGTACATATATACAATGGAATATTACTCAGCCATTAAAAAGAATGAAATAATGCCATTTGCAGCAACATGGATGGACCTGGAGACTATCATACTAAGTGAAGTAAGTCAGACAGAGAAAGACAAATATATGATATTGCTTATATGTGGAATCTAAAAGAAAATGATACAAATGAACTTATTTACAAAACAAAAACAGACTCACAGACAGAGTACAAACTTATGGTCACCAGGGATGACAAAGGGTGGGGGGAGGGATAGATTGGGAGTTTAGGACTGACATGTCCACACTGCTATATTTAAAATAGATAACCAACAAGAACCTACTGTATAGCACAGGGAACTTTGCTCAAGTCTGTAAGAACCTAAATGGGGAAAGAATTTGATAAATAATAGATACATGTATATGTATAACTGAATCACTTTGCTGTACACCTGAAACTAACACATTGTTAATCAACTATAACTCCAATATAAAATAAAAAATAAAAAAAATATTCTAAGCTCCAAAGCATTGAATAAATTCTGAGATGTGATTTGTGAGGGAAAAAAAAAGAGAATTACAGGTCAGAGTGGTGGAGAAAATAGTATAGATGTTAAAAATATCAAAGTTTAAATTTTTCGTAAGTCACAAATCTATAGTATTCTTGGATTCTAAGTGCACTGCTGGCTAAGATTAATGAAGGTCACACTTAAATAGTTCACAGATTGGTCTGTTAACATCCAGAAGGACTAAAGTAATTTTCTTTGGTCTTGAAAATACCAGCCAATAACCTCTCTCATTAGACTGACCCTTCTGGATTCTAATCAGAGCTTATTTAACTGTCATTTGTAGGATTCAGCCACAAGCCTGTCAAATGTTGAGAAAGCATACTGTTCTGTTTTTTTCTACTACTTGATTTAGCACAGACTATTTGATCCATTTCAAGGGCAACCCAAATAAGAGAAAGGCTGAGGTGCTCTTAAACTAATACTTGTTCAAAGATGGAGATTTGGACTTGTTAGTAATACTGACCCATGTAAAATATAAAAAAATAGATTCCTGAGGAAAGTCAGGTGTTCTTCTTTATTCAGTGGGTGTGTAAGCAAATGTCTGGCACAGAGGTTGACTCTAATCTGGACGCTGTGGATGACAAGCAGCCGGTAAAGGAACAGCTGCCTAAGTGTGCAAGTGATTAGTCTGTGTTGCCAGATCACCTCCACTGCTCTTCATTTATGATTACTTCTTTTTGGCTGGAGGATATGCTGCCAAGCCGGCATCTCCTTCTCCCAAATGCCTTCTTCCTGCCAGTTTACAGGGGAGTGTTTTGGAGAAAAACTGCCAACACTTCCTTTCCCATCTTACAGATTAAATAAATTGCATCTGCTTAACACACACAGCCTCTGTTGGCCCAGGGAACCAGACAAGCTGTTTGGACAGTGACCTCAACTGATATTTTGTGTTCTAGAAATGTATTCAGTTGAGGAAGGGATACCACGAATGGCATGAAAACCTTGCTCTTTCTTGGGTTGCAACCTTGAGCCCAAGTACTGGCTCCACCACCACTTACTAGCTGTGTGCTCCTGAGCAAGTCATTGAACATTCTTTGTATCTCAAATTTTCTTCTCTGTAACCGGAACAATAATCTTATTTGAGGTAAATATTGAAAGACCTCTACTTCCTTATTTAATGAAATACTAGTCAAAATCCCATTGTAATTTTCCTTTTTCTCACAGGGTGGGGGAGTAATACTTGTCAAATTGATCTTGAAGTTTCTCCAGGAAAGGAAAAATACAAGAAGAACCAAGAAATGCTTGAAAATGAATGGGGGAGACATGCCCTACCCAGTCAAAATAACTAAATGTGGTACTGCGGGAAGGTACATAAATCATTGAAAGAGAGAACAAAGAAAAATTTATATGTTGCATATACTAGAGCTATTTAAAATTAATAGTGACAGGGCATATTGTTCAATAAATGGGATGGGACAGCTAAATGTCCATTTGGGAAAAAAAGCTACAAGGTTTGATATTTTATTCTAGACTTTAGTTATTTCCTCCTTTATGAGCTTGGATCCCCAAATCTCAAGGGCTTCTTTCATCTAAAATAATGCATTATTACATTAAAGGCTTAAGAATTATCCACTTAGAGCATGACTTCCCTGGTGGCTCAGTGGTTAAGAATCCGCCTGCCAATGCAGGGGACACAGGTTTGTTCCCACATGCTGTGGAGCAACTAAGCCCATGCACCACAACTACTGAGCCTGCGCTCTAGAGCCCGTGAGCCACAACTACTGAGCCCGCATGCCACAACTACTGAAGCCCACATGCCTAGAGCCCGTGCTCCGCAACAAACAAGATAAGCCACGACAATGAGAAGCCCGCACACTGTAACGAAGAGTAGGCCCCGCTCGCCGTAACTAGAGGAAGCCTGCATGCAGCAACGAAGACCCAACGCAGCCAAAAATAAATTAATTAATTAAAAAAAAGAATTATCTACTTAGGTGACAGATGAAGGCATGAGAGTGGACAAGACCATTGAAGAAGAGCACCAAGGGGTCTGTGGTTGGAATATTGGGGCATACCTACATTTAGGATGGGGATGGAAGAAGTGGACCAAAGGTGGCCTGCGTCAATGACCAACTTATTTTTTTAAGGTCATAGAACCCAAGGGAGGAAAGGTTTTAAACAAAGGTAGCTCGGTCTGTGCTCTGTGGTTACCTAGATGGGTGGGATGCAGGGGGAGGGAGGTCCGAGAGGGAGGGGATATATGTATACATACAGCTGATTCGCCTCGGTGTACAGCAGAAACTAACACAACATTGTAAAGCAATTATACTCCAATAAAAAATTAATTTAAAAAAATGAAGGTTGAAGAAGGTCATATGAAAAGAGGTTAAGATGATTGAAGGCTGGAAGGAACATTATGGGTTAGACATGTAGGACATGACCAGCTTTCCTCAAGAAAGAATTTTCCTAGTAGTAAGATTAAACCAGGGGCTTCCCTGGTGGCGCAGTGGTTGAGAGTCCGCCTGCCGATGCAGGGGACACGGGTTCGTGCCCTGGTCCGGGAAGATCCCACATGCCGCGGAGCGGCTGGGCCCGTGAGCCATGGCCGCTGAGCCTGTGCGTCCGGAGCCTGTGCTCCACAACGGGAGAGGCCACAACGGGAGAGGCCACAACAGTGAGAGGCCCGCGTACCGCAAAAAAAAAAAAAAAGTTTAAACCAGCTTTCCTCAAGAAAGGAAATGACCAGCTTTCCTCAAGAAAGTATTTTCCTAGTAGTAAGGTTAAACCAGAATCAGTGAGGTGACAGCAGGCAAACACTAACAAAGGATTCTTTCCACATATGGAAAGAGGTGGAACTCCAGCTTAATGGGGAAATAACTGGGGAAGAATTTCCAGAAGCAGCTGATTTCTTTGAACCTGCTACTAAGCTATAATACTCTATGTGCTAGACACTGAGCTGTATGTCACCAATTTCCAGAGCAAAGCTGCAAGGTCAATGTTGTTTTCACTTTACAGGTGAGGATTTGTAAGCCAGCATACAAACAACACGTACTAACTAGTTTGGGCTAGTTACTTAAGCAGTCTAAGGCAGTTTTATTAAAGGAGAATAATGCTACCTACACCTTGACACTGTTCTGAAGATTAAATTATTAAATTATATATGTATATACAAACGTAACATACATATCTATGTATGTACAAACGTGTACAAACACAAACAGAAATGTGTAGAATAGTACTTTGCAGGAACTTAATACATATTCCTGGTACCATACTTGAGAAAAATAGCAATGCGTAAGGTACAGTCATGGTGGCATAACTGAATTTAACTGCAGGCTTTCTTTCATGTGTACCCAGCTTTATTTTGAACAACCACCTTTAACGTACAGGTTTCTCCTCTTCTTTTGTTAGGTATTGGATGTGAGTAGAGAAGGCAAAGAAGAAGTATTCTACGGGCCTACACTTCCTTTTGCTTCCAATGGAATAGCGGCATGCTTCCTCCCAGCTCCGTATTTCACATGCCCTAACCTTCAAACTCTTCAAGTGCCTCATCACAGGATTGGCACCATCTGAAAAGCCAGTGCTCTCTTAACAACCAGCATGAACACGAGGAAGAAAAAGGCCTGACTTTTGGATACTGGGCATGAAAATACTCAGTGCTCAATGCTTCCTTGTTTTGTTTTCTAGATCTTCCATTCAGATAAACATTAGCAAAAAATGAACAGTTTTCTAAAATACACATTATTGAAAACGCTTGTCACGCTTCTCAGTGTGTGTCAATATACAGCACAATATGTATGACTTTTATGGTGGTGTAGCTTAGTGCTAACTTAATGGTCCATGGATCTTTTAAGCATTCTTTGTACACTTTGTCTAATCAGTGCTGTCCAGGACATTACCCTCTTAGTAAGGCAGTTTATTCCACAAGTACTGCCATCAATGATCTTAAAAAAAAATTGTCAGTACTTAATCTCTTTACTACTTAAGCCTGGGATTGTAATTTTTCTTTTAAAAATTTAACATTATACAGCCCTGCTGTATAAGTAGAGGCTCATCATTATGACATCATAAATTTTTAAATGCCATATTTTATTCAAGGTAATACAAATAATAGAAGTACACCAGAACAGCAGATGGAATACCCAGATTTTTCACCTTGGTTGCTCTGTTACCTTGGGCCAGGAGCTTAACTTTACATTGCTTCAGTTTTCTCACTTTTTAAGGAGGGCAATTATTGATTTCCATATTAATTCAGAAGAATGTTTTAAGGATTAGGCAAATGCTCTGAAGTACTTTGCCTAAGGAAAAAAAATGTCACTCAAATTACAAGGTATTTTACTGTTTTAGAACCTTGTAACTGAAAAAGATTATTTTTGAAGTTTAAAAATTACTAGATAGAACTTGGAACACAAGCTATGAGATAAATGATTCTGAAAAGCATGTGAAAGAGACATGCTAATTATGAAAAAGGGAGTTTACTAAAGCCAAAGATTCCTAAACTTGTATAAACACTTGCCTAAAATAATAAGTCTCTCAAACATTTCATCTAAGCTCATTTAGTGAAAAATGACATTTTAAAGCTCAGAAAAAATTAGTTGTACTAATTTCGGTACCATAAAGTGCTCTGACATAAATTTGAACCTAGTATCAGTAGTTCTAATAAAAGTTTTTCCACTTTGTTAAAGGTTATGTCAATCTTGAGCACTTGTGGGATTCTTCTCTACCACCAATACATATTTTATTACTACCATTTTTAATAATGCATGAGAATTTTTTTAGGCTAGGTTTTTGGATTTGCTTTGTCTATAACAAAAAATAAAAAATAAAACAACTCAATAATCGTATTTGAACATAAATTCAACAAGTATAACATGAGTTTTCCCCCTTAATCTTGTTAGGATAAGTCACCTTTATTAAAAGGAAGATTTTACTTTTTTTCCTTAGTTTAATCATTCAGCAATCCTTGCTTAATGGGAAATTGTCATTTTATTCATGTAACCACTTTTAGTAATCAGAAGTGAAAAAAAATATTTTTATTCCTAAATATAGAATTCACTAACTTTATATGATACCTAAAACATTAATTAAAAAATATATATATATAAATAAAACTTTTGGCTATTTAGATTAAAGGCCGGGAAGGGAGACTAGGGGTAAAAAAAAAATGGTAAATTTTTAAAAGAACAGATTTTGTTTACACAAACAAAAAGCCTTAAGAATATTTGTACAGTTCTGAAAAGTGAAAATTGATAATTGACATTTAGAAGGAAAACAGAGAGTCTATTTAAAAGGTATAAACCATCTAAATTAAGTTTTTAAAATGCCTTACCATGTCAGGAAAATGTCTCCAGCGTTTCAGAAATCTTTTCAACAAGGACCTAAACAAGAATTTCAGATTTACTAAAATTTTTACTTGACACACACATTTTCCATCCAGCAGTTTTACCTTATAAAACCTTAAAATCTGTTTTTAATCCCAGACTCTCTACCCAATTAATGAAAGGGAAGGTCTAAAAGTGAACTTGCTTGAATGATAAACGGAAAGGCAGCCTGAGATTATTGTAATTTCTGTGTACACTTCTATTTATTTAAAACAAACGAGTATATATTATCAAACCTCTCCTCAGTGAACTTTAATGTATTATTCTGTAATATTACAGAATTGAAGTCAGAATTTTTAAAAGTTTTACATAGTTTCCAGAAACACTTATAGACAAAGAACAGCATCCAAAGTACAGCACCCCTCCCCTAAAAAGAAAAAACTTAGATCGCTTATAATTCGATCCTTCCCTCAAATTACTGATCATAAGAGCTAATTAAGAAAAATTCTAGAAAACAATGTTTGGTCATATAAACCAAGGCCCACTGAAACTATTCAAATATATGTTCTCCATTTAAGTGAACTATCCTACAGTAATTCATCTTCCATTTTTACTCTTCAAAGTTAAAGACCATATTGTATTTATATTTAAATTATTAATTTGAATTTCCAAAAGACTATGAAGCTTCCAACAGTTTAAACATCATTTCAAGATTTTACTTTAAAAAAGAAAAAGCAGTAACACAGATATTAGCAGTGTTCTTACTCTAGGAGGAAAAGCCAGAAAAGACATGAATCTCTAAAATAAAATAATATGTATGTAAAATGCAATAAAATTCCTTAGATTTTTAAGAACAAAATGCCAATTGGTTATTTTTAGGGTGTTTTTCATCCTTTTTCTCTTCTCAGTTTAACCACATGTATTACACTGTATACCCTTCAGCCATTACAATAGCTGAAAAATTAACTTTTCTTTGTTTTAGCGGAGTATAAAAGCAACAGGAATAATAAGATAAAAATTATTCCTGTAGGTAACACGGTTCATTTTTATTTTGGTTTTCAAAGAGTCAATCTGTCATAAAGAGGCAGTTGAATAATCACAGGTGCAGTGTAAGTTGAATATATACATTTTTTATTATATCTCATTACTATATACACAAATAACTTAAAGCATGCATATGCCCAGAATTTTTCTAAAAGCACAATCCACAAATGCAATGAACTGGATAACTATCAGCACACCAAAAACTTCAGTAAGCAGAAGTTGGTAAGTTCATTTGGTACTGATTTTGGTAATCTTACCAAACATAGTTTATCACAGAATCAAAATATAAATCTCATATCTTATTAAATATGTGAAAGAATATGCTATTTTGCTAGCTTCCCAAACCAACTGTTTTAAGCAAACAAAGCACGTTATTTATACTAGCATACTCTATACTTGACTGACAAGGCAATATTTTTAACCCTAGGAGGAGTAGGCAGGAGATCAGTTTTTGGAAAATGTAAGGTTTATGTAAAAAGTCTATCAGTCAAAAAGCAGTGGTTTAGTACAGAGAACACAGTTTTCGGTGAGGTTTCTATGATACCTATCTTTTATCTTTGAAACACAAGTGCTATGTTACTGTGTAGGATTAGGGAAGGTACGTTTCCTAAAGGCTTTTCCCAACTGCAAAGGCTCATCAAATTTTTATATGATATATAATCCTAACAAAGGGGAAGTAAAAATAAAAACTGCCAAAGATTCTGTGAAAGTACATGGAAATGGGCTCATGTAATTGGTTAAGAACAAAGTAGGTTTAAAAATTTATGATGAAGCATGGAAGAAGATAAAAATAACAATGCATAATGAAAACACACACATAGTCTAACAACTCACAAATAATATTTTACTTACCCCCCAAAATAGAAAAAGTCAAATATGCTTAGTAAGAAAAGAAAAATATGCTAGGGATAAGTAAAGATATAAAAAGTTTTAAACTTTGAAACTCTTCTAATACAAATGAACAAAGTACTAAACGATTTTTGTGCAGCGACAATACTCCATGTTTTTTTCGTCCCCTATGGAAACCTAATTAAATGTTCAACTGAAATTTAAATCGTAACCAAATCTGTGTCTAATAAAGTCCTTTCATCACCCTGTTGTCTTTCAATCATCTCTTCTACACTCCATCTGATATTTTAAAGAAATTATTTGAGTGGAATAATTACATATCCAACATGTATATTTTAATTTTCTTCCTATTTAAGTGCCTTAAGGTTAGGTTTCTATAGAAATGATGGTATTCTAATTGGCAAACTGAGTGAGGCCCACAGCGTAGAATGAACATGTCATTCAGAGAAAGCAGCTAAGACAGTCTGCTTTCCTGCTTGAGGTAAGTTTGGAAACAGAAGGTATAGCGTCAGATGGCAGAAGCCTCCTGACTGAAGGGCTTGAATGTCAGCTTATTAACAATGGGAAGTAAATGGAGGTCCTTGAGCAGAAAAGTAAGAAGAAGAAAGAAGTATTTTAGGAACACTAATGTCAAAACTATGTGAAGAATAAATTTCAGGAGTCCAGAGATAAGAAGGAGATTATAGTACCCAATAGAAAAATGTTTGGATGCATGAAATGGCAAGAAGAAAAAAATCACAAGAGCCTATAAGGTGATCAAATGAAAAGTGGGGAGCAATGAATCCAAGAAATGTCACGGCTAAGTGACTTGGGAAAGTGGTGTATTCTCTGGGTAGAAAATGAAGGCATGAGCTAGACTGGAAACGAAGATGATAAGGGCAGCTTGACATGTTGCCTTGAGATTTCAGGAGAATCCAACTAGACAGGTTTAGAGAAAAATTAGCACTACAGATAGAAAAAAATTATAAGCTAGTTTTATCAGTTCACTACTACAAGAATGTTGAGACAGAGCAGGTGAAGGGCTAGATCTTACCAGTAGGGACAAGAAAGAAGAACGTGTATGTAGGAAGGAGCGATACTGCTGAGGAAGGGATCAGAAGATAAAAGAAAATGCAATGTCACAGAGGCCCCAAAGACCAAGAAAAATGAAAACACATTCCAGATTTGGCCCAAAGAGAATGGCCTACCTTACAATGGTAGAAGCAGCCGCCTCAGGGATTACAGGGTTTTTAGGGGAAAAGGAACATTAACGAAGCAAGTATAGGTACTCTTTAGTCTGGAAATGGAAAAAGACAAGACTATAGTAATAATTTACGGGTCAGTGAAGATTCTTAAGAAATGGAACAGAGTCATACATATTCTTTTTTTCTTCAATGAAACAGCTTCTTTAAAACTTTACTGATACATAAATTTAAAAATACATATATATATACATACACAGGTATTGTTACAGACTTTTTCTTGTTACTGATTTTTTTATGTATAAACTTTAGTTATTCTTAGTATCTACAGCTATACACCCTAATGCATGATTCAGCAGCAGATTTTCTTAACCCTTAAAAAGTTTCATAAGCTAAGGAGCAAGATTCTCCAAGATATCTTTATCAATTTCCCTTGGGGGTGAAAAAAAAAATATATACACACATATATATATACACACACACACACATAAACTCTTTAAAGGCATCCCATTAAATAGTTTAAATTTCAATTGCTACAACTTGCAAAATAATGCATCATTTATTTAATAAGTCACTATCGTAATGAAAAGAAACTCATTGCTATGAAGTCTTAGTAACCTTAAAGAGGCTTTCATTCATCCCATTTGTTGAATTAAAAACAGTTTATTTTGGGGGAAAATAAACCATTTATATGTCATGAAGTCCTTTAGACTTCACAGATTACAATTAGGAAAGGGCTATTATCTACAGTTTCCCGACTGCAATGCATTTCATTTTAAAAGATACTTCTTGAGTCAGAAAGGGTTGAAATGTTTTCCTGAAGGAATAGTAGAACCATGATAAACACTAGATACTCAAGAAAAAAAACAATAAATTATTTCAAACTTAGCAAACATGACATGTAAGGAAACATTGAAAAGAAGTGCGATCTTCATCTAGGACGTACCATTAGAGAAAGAGGAACAAAATTAGGAAGTGTTCTTCACCTTTGTGCATGAGATAGAGTGATCATGTCTGTACACCACCAAACAGAACATAGGTCAACAAATACTTTCACATACATTTAAATTATATGATTATAATTATAAAGCAATTATCCCACTGATTCCTACCAGAACATTGTGAAATTTAAAAAAGGGTTATTATTCACTTTTCTCCATGAAGAAACTGAGGCTCAGAAAGGTTAAGAACTTGCTCAAGGTCACAAAGCAGAGCTGGGTTTGAGACCCAGGTGGGTTCCCAACACTAAGATTGGAGCTCTTTTTACCAAATAATGCTCATTAGAAAAAGGAGTCAAGGACAAAAGCCCAACTGGTGGAATGAATCTGAATGAAATAGTTAAAGGGTTGAGCGATGAGCTGCTACAGGAAACTAAACTGGCTCCCTTCAAACATGTAAGATGCTAGCTTATAAAAGGCTCTAATTGAAGAGCAAGGAGATAAATCAGCTGACTTCTCAGACCTCTTCTGTTAATTTTGTAAACTTAAAAATTTCTAGAATATTATTTATTCTCTTTTCTTAAAGGCTTTTGTTTATCCTCCTCCTGATCTGTCTTTTAATGACAACTCCAAACGAAAGGATGAGTAGAGGAAAACATCTGGCAACCGTTGGAACCCAAGTATTGATATAAACACTGTTGGCCCAAGTTAAAAAAAAAATACATATTATCTGTATAATCATTTAGCCAGATTCAGTCTCATTCCTCATAGAGTTAAGTGTGCTTTGTAAGGATTTTATTAACTTGCCTCACGCATAGTATAAAAAAGGATAACAAATATACTGTTCTATCTCCTGACCACCCCTCCAAAAAAAACCCAGCATAGGGCAGCCAGGTAATTTGAAATAGTATCATAATAAAATATAACTCATAAGAAAACAAAAACAAAACAGAAATAAATTACTCACAAGGCAGAAAGTCACATTACAGTAAAATGGCCATGGATCAACCAGTACAAACCTGTTTAGACATACACACATAACACTCCCAGTTAGGAAAAGTTTCTTTAGTTTCACTAAAACCTCTTCAAAATAGAATGCAGTTTTACCAAGTTCGAAAGCTCCTATAACATATTTAATTAACTTTTATTTCCTTATTTATATACCTTATACTTACAGGTATGAAAGGAAAAAAATGCTAGAAAGTATTTTTAACAGAACATTATACAATTAATTAAAAGTAGGAGTCAGAATGGTGCAAAGTGACTTTAGATAGTTATAATTAATATTGAGGATGAATCACAAAATAGATTTAATATTATCATCTTGTAGTCTCTGTATCTCATCTTGTCCCACTTGTCCTAGGTGAGATAAAAGTTTGCTATAGGCTTCCCTATAAAGAAAAAAGAAAAGAAGACAGATATATATTTACTACATTTTCCACTATTTTTCATTTAAGTCTTTACAGACTGAGCCTGCTTGAATGTCTACTTGTCTATACACACCATACACGATGTAATTAAAGTACTTTGACTCTTTAACATACTACTTTTGGACATATGAATTATAGTATGAGTAATGACCCTTCTAAAACAATCTCTTTAGGAAATACAGACTTATACCCCCCCCCATGTTTCATTACTCTAAATAGTCCAGCATTATCTTCAGCTGGGTTGTAATCTATTAAAAAAAAAAAAAAAAAGCCTTGATCTATTTCTGACCAAAACCCATATTATCTAGTTGAGTCACTAATCTTATTCACTGGAACACACTCCAAATTTTTATAAGTGGAAAACAGGCCATTTCTAGAAAATGAATCTATATTTCATAATCATTGTCCAAAAGGATATAATCAAATTATCGAACATACCTTTGTGCAATATTTCTGCCAAGGCCCCATTTCTGCTCTGAACTCTTCAGAGATTGAGTAAGGGTTGAAATCAAGTGGATAACAACCTGTTGGTCCAATGCTGCTACTGTTTCTAAAATGCTGTAAATCTGATAATCATATCTCATACCATAATCCTCGATAAATTTCCTGAAAGTAAAACAAGTTACTTAGAATTACTTCTGGGGCAATTCCTTGGGCTGGTATCTGTATGGCAACAAGCTGTAACCTGAACACAAGAAAGATCATTTCATGTAAGATTACCATAAGGATTTAGATGCCATATGAACACTATTTAACACTTGAAAATAAAGAACAGAAATGGCTTCAGTATGAGCTATGAACAGAGTGGTGGCTTTAGGAGAAAGGGAAAGGGAAGAGCTGGAATCCCAGGAGGAAGAATAAGGGGGAAAAATCTAATCTCAGGGACTTTTTTGCTATAGTGTGCATGATGAAATCTAGATGGTCAGGATGTAGAAGAGACTAAAACAGCAGAGTCCAGTTTCCTAGTTATTTTGTATATCTTTTAGTTATTGCTAACTCTAGATAAATCAAACAATATATCTATGAGAAAAGCAAGTTATTTGAAATAATTTTTATATTCTTTAACCGATCAAGAGACTTTAGACCCATAGAAGACCTTTTATTAATAAGAATTATATATTTTAATCCTAAAATTTCCACTCTCTCCCCCCAAGAAAATAAAAGTCACCTAGCTCAATAAATTGTACTTAACAAACATGCAATCTTTGTTCATATAAAATCCTTCCTCCTCTTAGGGTTTTACAGTTTTCATAAATCCAGTATTTATTTCAAATGATCACAATTTAAATAAACTGTAAACAACTGACAAGTGCCAACTATGTGATGAGAAAGAAAACTGAGGAATCAAAAATCTAACACAGAATGAAGGAAATGGACCCAAACTATTTATCACGGTAGTGCTAGGGTAGAGATACATGAAATAAAGGCGAACTGGTAGAAACTGTGAGAAAGAAATACTTAAAAGTACTGCCCTAACAGAAAGCATAAGACTCTATAGGGTGCAAGGCAGGAAAATAAAAACAAAACAGAAAATGTTTCTCAAGTTGCAGTTATTCTTGTGAAGGAACAACAGATCTACAAAGTCTATGGTTCACAATTACATACAATGGAGCTTTCTGGGTCCACAGCATCTAAAGTGAGTAGGAAAACCAGTGACAGGCACTTTCACAGTGGATCCTGAGTAGCATGTTTAGCAGCTCCAAAGCCTGTACACCTGTCATCATGACTCACGTTTCCCACTTTTTCCTCTTAAACACATGCAAGAATCTTCCTTACTAAATTCTCAGGTAATTTTACGTCAGCTCACTTATCTTTCTCCTTGGTACTTTTATTTTTTAATAAAACAACATAGCAAAACCACTGCCAAAAATACAATAATTTAAACTACAAACAAGTAGTAACACATTATGTTTTGGATAATTAGTTATTTAAAAAACATGTTGGCTGTCAAATGGCTGGCAATAGTCTTCTTGCCAGTTGGCATATTTTCCAGTTACCTAAACACAGAAGTCAGCTGGGCGGCAGGTTCTCCTCCTGACCCCACTTGGCAGGCTTTGACCATGTATTGCAGGTTCTCGGTGGCCAGCCTTTTAACTAGGAGGAAAATTTACAGCATTACACATTTTGTCTGGTTTGACCATCTGGATCCTCATTTTTATGAGCGCTCTAGGTTTAGAAAAACATGTTGTTTTCTTAAAGTATCTACATGCTTTTTTGTTATTTTTCAAAGCGAAACAGTTATGAGCTTTTGTTTTGTTCTAAAGTCTCCCTATCTTCCATTTTAAGAAAATATAAAACACTTTACAAATCTATTTTTTACAACCCTGTAACTGAAAAAACACATGTGAAGATAAGTCTTTCTGTTAGAAAAGAGCCCATATTCAAAAACACTCCTGTATCCTAACCTTGCAAACACTGTTACATACTGATTAAAGATAACCTTTAATAATTCAGCTGATTTAGAGACAAGCAGGTTGATTTTTTTAATTCATAAGCATATTCCTCCCACTAACAAACATATATGTAGAAAATTAGAAACAGTTTACCTTCACTTAAAATTAGCAATATATATATATAAAATCAACTATTTGTGATGCTAATTTTGTTTTGAAAGAGAGCAAAGTTACAAAAAGAACATTTATGTTCTTTCAGTATTTAACCAAATCCTTTACAACTGTGCACTTGTACATAAAAACGGCAACAACAAAAAAAATCAACAAAGAATGTAGAAAATTCACCATGTTCCAAATGCTAATACATTTTTGTTATGCTGTTTTTGGAACATTAAATATAAGTAGCTGGGGAAAAAATTACTTTCTCTAAGAACAAGGAAAATTTAAGAAACTGTAATCCACTACGGCAAGAGTACAAAACATGTGATGCACATGAAGTTAAATTAATTAAAATAAAGTAGCAGATAATGTTTTCCATAGCATGACGATAGTGGATAAGGAAGATATAGCATACTTGTCTTTATTGAGCAAATAAGTTCTCATATTAGATGCAATCCTAAAGCCAATATAACTGTTTCTTTTTAAAGATGTTTTCTTGAAAAAAACAAAAACAAAACCCACAAGTTCTTCTGTGGAAAAAGTACCAGAACATGAAGAAATAGCCTTCACAAACTATTAACAGTAAGCATTGTTTTTTTAAAAATAACAGCTTTATTGAGGTATAATTCACACATGAAAACCAACCTTTTAAAGTGTACAACTCATTGGTTTTTAGTATATTCATAAGAACTTTGAAGTTATCACCACTATCTAATTTCAGAACATTTTCATCACCTCCCCCCAAAACCTTACACCTATTAGCAATCTTTCCCCATTTTCTTCCTCCCCCAGTCCCCGGAGGCACTGATCTTTCTGTCTCTATGGATTGTCTATTCTGGGAATTTCATATAGATGGAATCATACAACATGTGGTCTTATGTGACTGCTTTCTTTTCACTCAGCATAATGTTTTTTTTTGTTTTTGTTTTTGTTTCACTTAAAAACTTTTATTTATTTATTTTTGATTATACAATGCAGTGTTATCAACTATAGTTTCTAACCTATCCTTTAGATTCTCAGACCTTATTCATCCTATAACTGGAAGTTCATACACTTTTTTTTAAAACATTTTTATTGGAATAAAATTGCTTTACAAATGGTGTTGTTAGTTTCTGCTTTATAACAAAATAAATCAGTTATACATATACTTATGTTCCCATATCTCTTCCCTCTTGCATCTCCCTCCCTCCCACCCTCCCTATCCCACCCTTCTAGCTGGTCACAAAGCACTGAGCTGATCTCCCTGTGTTCCGCGACTGCTTCCCACTAGCTATCTATTTTACATTTGGTGGTGTATATATATCCATATACACACCACTCTCTCACTTTGTCTCAGCTTACCCTTCCCCCTCCCCATGTCCTCAAGCCCATCCTCTAGTAGCTCTGCGTCTTTATTCCTGTCTTGCCCCTAGGTTCTTCATGACTTTTTTTTTTTACATTCCATATATATGTGTTAGCATACAATATTTGTTGCTGTCTTTCTGACTAACTTCACTCTGTATGACAGACTCTAGGTCCATCCACCTCACTACAAATAACTCAATTTCGTTTTTTTTATGGCTGAGTAATATTCCATTGTATATATGTGCAACATATTTATCCATTCATCTGATGATGGACACTTACATTGCTTCCACATCCGGGCTATTGTAAAAAGAGCTGCAGTGAACATTGTGGTACATGACTCTTTTTTGAATTTTGGTTTTCTCAGGGTATATTCCCAGTAGTGGGATTGCTGGGTTGTATGGTAGTTCTATTTTTAGTTTTTTAAGGAACCTTCATACTGTTCTCCATAGTGGCTGTATCAATTTACATTCCCACCAACAGTGTATGAGGGTTCCCTTTTCTCCACACCCTCTCCAACATTTATTGTTTGTAGATTTTTTGATGATGGCCATTCTGACCGCTGTGAGATGATATTGCATCGTAGTTTTGCTTTGCATTTCTCTAATGATAAAAGATGTTGAGCATTCTTTCATGTGTTTGTTGGCAATCTGTATATCTTCTTTGGAGAAATGTCTGTTTAGGTCTTCTGCCCATTTTTGGATTGGGTTTTTTTTTCTTTTTTTTTTTTTGATAATGAGCTGCATGAGCTGCCTGTAAATTTTGGAGATTAATCCTTTGTCAGTTGCTTCATTGGCAAATATTTTCTCCCATTCTGAGGGTTGTCTTTTGGTCTTGTTTATGGTTTCCTTTGCTGTGCAAAAGCTTTGAAGTTTCATTAGGTCCCATTTGTTCTTATTTTGATTTCTCTAGGAGGTGGGGCAAAAAGGATCTTGCTGTGATTGATGTCACAAAGGGTTCTGCCTATGGTTTCCTCTAAGAGTTTGATAGTGTCTGGCCTTACATTTAGGTCTGTAATCCATTTTGAGTTTATTTTTGTGTATGGTGTTAGGGAGTGTTCTAATTTCATTCTTTTACATGTAGCTGTCCAGTTTTCCCAGCACCACTTATTGAAGAGGCTGTCTTTTCTCCATTGTATATTCTTGCCTCCTTAATCAAAGACAAGGGGACCATATGTGTGTGGGTTTATCTCTGGGCTTCCCATCCTGTTCCATTGATCTATATTTCTGTTTTTGTGCCAGTACCAGACTGTCTTGATTACTGTAGCTTTATAGTATAGTCTGAAGTCAGGGAGCTTGATTCCTCCAGCTCCATTTTTCGTTCTCAAGATTGATTTGGCTATTCGGGGTCTTTTGTGTTTCCATACAAATTGTGAATTTTTTTGTTCTAGTTCTGTGAAAAATGCTAAGGGTAGTTTGATAGGGATTGCATTGAATCTGTATATTGGTTTGGGGGTAGTATAGTCATTTTCACAATGTTGATTTTTCCAATCCAAGAACATGGTATATCTCTGAATCTATTTGTGTCACCTTTAATTTCTTTCATCAGTGTCTTATAATTTTCTGCATACAGGTCTTTTGTCTCCTTAGGTAGGTTTATTCCTAGGTATTTTATTCTTTTTGTTGCAATGGTAAATGGGAGTGTTTTCTTGATTTCACTTTCAGTTTTTTCATCGTTAGTGTATAGGAATGCAAGAGATTTCTGTGCATTAATTTTGTATCCTGCTACTTTACCAATTCATTGATTAGCTCTAGTAGTTTTCTGGTAGCATCTTTAAGATTCTCTATGTACAGTATCATGTCATCTGCCAACAGTGACAGCTTTACGTCTTCTTTTCTGATTTGGATTCCTTTTATTTCTTTCTCTTCTATGATTGCTGTGGCTAAAAGTTCCAAAACTATGTTGAATAACAGTGGTGAGAGTGGGAAACACCTTGTCTTGTTCCTGATCTTAGTGGAAATGGCTTTAGTTTTTCACCATTGCGTACGATGTTGGCTGTGGGTTTGTCATCCATGGCCTTATTTTGTTGAGGTAAGTTCCTGCTATGCCTACTTTCTGGAGGGTTTTGATCATAAATGGGTGTTGAATTTTGTCAAAAGCTTTCTCTGCATCTATTGAGATGATCATATGGTTTTTCTCCTTCAGTTTGTTAAAATGGTTTATCACATTGATTGATCTGCGTATATTGAAGAATCCTTGCATTCCTGGGATAAACCCCACTTGATCATGGTATATGATCCTTTTAATGTGCTGTTGGATTCTGTTTGCTAGTATTTTTGCATCTATGTTAATCAGTGATATTAGTCTGTAGTATTCTTTTTTTGTGACATCTTTGTCTGGTTTTGGAATCAGGGTGATGGTGGCGGCCTCACAGAATAAGTTTGGGAGTGTTCCTCCCTCTGCTATATTTTGGAAGAGTTTGAGAAGGATAGCTGTTAGCTCTTCTCTAAATGTTTGATAGAATTCGCCTGGTGAAGCCATCTGGTCCTGGGCTTTTGTTTGTTGGAAGATTTTTAATCACAGTTTCAATTTCAGTGCTTGTGATTGGTCTGTTCATATTTTCTATTTCTTCCTGCTTCAGTCTCAGAACGTTGTGCATTTCTACGAATTTGTCCATTTCTTCCAGGTTGTCCATTTTATTGGCATATAGTTGCTTGTAGTAATCTCTCATGATCCTTTGCGTTCTGCAATGTCAGTTGTTACTTCCCCTTTTACATTTCTATTGATTTGATTCTTCTCGGTTTTTTCTTGATGAGTCCGGCTAATGATCAATTTTGTTTACCTTCTCAAAGAACCAGCTTTTAGTTTTATTGATCTTTACCATCATTTCTTTTTCATTTATTTCTGATCTGATGTTTATGATTTATTTCCTTCTGCTAACTTTGGGTTTTTTTTTGTTCTTCTTTCTTTAATTGCTTTAGGTGTAAGCTTAGGTTGTTCATTTGAGATGTCCCTTGTTTCTTAAGGTAGGATTGTATTGCTATAAACTTCCCTCTTACAACTGCTTTTGCTGAATCCCATAGGTTTTGGGTCACTGTGTTTCCACTGTAATTTTTTTCTAGGTATTTTTTGATTTCCTCTGATTTCTTCAGTGATCTCTTGGTTATTAAGTAGTGCATTGTTTAGCCTCCATGTGTTTGTATCTTTTACAGATTTTTTCCTGTAATTGATATCTAGTCTCATAGCATTGTGGTCAGA